GAAGGGTAAAGGAAACCATGCCAGAACAGCCACAAGTGAAGCGCGGACGGGGTAGACCTAAGGGGTCGAAGGACACGAAGAAGCGTAAGACGCGCATGAGTAGGGACGCTTCGAGGATCATCGGCCGGATCGCGTATAGGCTCTGTAGTGAGCAGACGCGTGGTAGGTCGAAACCTAAGAAGAAGCACGACTACGCTGACGCAAACGCACGTGATTCAGCCCCAGCTTCAGAGAGAAGATCTGGACCCATATCGAGAAAGGAAGCTACCAGGGGACCTGAGGCAAACCTTTGGAAGGAAGCTGATCGAAAGGAGGTTAGGGGGCTTGTAGATGCTAAGTAAGTGCTGGCGTGAGAAAGATCCACTGAAGGATCAGTCGCTTCTTCGGAGGAAGCGCCCGGCGCGTGCGCACATGGTTCGTGTGCGGAAACGCTGTGGGCGCCGGAAGTCGCGGCTGGTGGCAGATGGTTCCACGCAAAACCTCACGAAAGGCGAAATCTTTTCACCAACGCCGAGCACGGTGAGCATGAGGCGTCAGATTGTTCACGCGGCTCAGCACGATTGGGAAATTGATGGAGCTGACGTGACGCAGGCACTCATCAAGGCGGACCTTCCTGAGCCGGAACTGATCAGACTTCCAGAGGAAGTCCTAGAAGGTGACGAAGACCCTGTGAAAGTAGCTACAAAAGCTCTTTATGGTTTTAAGCAATCACCGCGCGCTTGGAACAAGCTAGCCGATAAGAAATCTCGCGAATGGGGGTGGACGCCATTACCTAGAGAAGGCGGCGCTTACTATCGCACGGACTCGGAAGGCAAGCTAAGCGCGATGTTGGTGTGCTATGTGGATGACATCATAGCCACGGCAAAGAAGCCGAGCAAAGCTGGCGACAAAACTGCCAAGGACTATGTGAGTCAGGTCAGCAAGGAGTTTGGTTCGACGCCTATGGCGGTATCAATCGAACGTCTCAGCGAGACACGCGAAAAGCATAAGTTTGACTTTGTAGGGATCGACGTGGACATCCACGCACTACGAAATTACCAAAAGCGGCGGTAGACGCTTTGAGAAGGTAATCTTTCAAGGTGAGAGCAGAGCCACAAAGATTTTGAAAAAGTGGAATATGTTCGACTGCGCTGAGAAGTCCACTCCATCGTGCCCGAGGCATAGGGACCAATGGCGTCAATTGGCTAAGGAAGCCAAAGAGAAGCCAGAGTCCAGGGATGAAAGTGAGCTTTCGAGCTTGTCGGATATTCACACAGATAAGAGTGACAGTGAAGCTACTGCAGGTTCAGAGTCTGACAAGACTAAACCGCAGAAAACGGGGAAAAGGGTGAAGAAGAAAAGGGTAGACTCTGAATGGAGCAGCAAGGCAGTAGTCGGCGAGTTAATGTATCTAAGTTTGTCGTCTAGGCCGGACATCACCGAGGCGGTGAATTCGGCGGCTAGATGTCCTCTCGAAGACCGCCAGAAGCTAATGCTGAAGAGGGTAATGAGGTACCTTCGGGGCACGTTGGCTGTGGGTGTCGAGTGGACGCCGACGAGCTGGAAAACATACAAGACGAACTACGAGCCGCTGTGGATTCAGGGCGCCCCCCTTTTCGTGAGCGGTGAACCAGAACCAGTAGGCGAAATGTCTCCTATCGGAACTTTTTCTGACGCGGACTTTCAAGGCTGTCCGTCTACAAGTAAGTCAACTACAGGCACGATGATGACGCACTACGGAGCTTGCGTGGCTTGGAGGTCCAAGCGGCAAACGATCGCAACACTGTCTACGCCTCATGCCGAGACAGTAGCTAAGTGTGAGTCGATTCAGTATGCGCAATCCATCGCCTTCGTTGATATTGTACCCGGCACAGAGTGCAAGAACCAAGGCTATGCCAATACTCCGCCCACATGGGTTGACAATAAACCAGCACTAGACCAAGCGACGCAAGAGTTCAAATGTGCAGGAAGTAAACACTACCAAAGCAGACTACACTTCGCGCGCGATCTAGTTGATCGATGTCGCCACTGCCCCACCGGGTTGATGAGGGCTGATGGCCTCACGAAGCCAGTATCTGCGGAAACTCTATGGCTAATGTTATATGGTGTAGAGAAAACTACTAGTATAAGGCCCATTCTACAAATCCCAAA